AAAATTGTTTGACGTGCAAAATATTCCCAGAACCATTTTGAGACTGTCTCATTTGGGTAGTTACTGATGGAATGGACAAATTTCAATGTTAGATGTAATAGCAGTAAAGGTTAGAATTGCTTTAGGGCAGAAATTATCAAGTCCTTTTCTTGTCAATTTCTGTAGGTCAAGAAAAAATATCCTGAAAGGCTGCAGTCCTATCCCATTCTCACTTCACAAGAAATGCCAGCTTTAACATCTGGGCAGATACTGGGCACTAGCATCCTTGTCATTTTGTCCTAGACTGGCCATTGCAGATGCCTTGGAACTCAGTTCAAACAACCACCTGGGCATTTGTGTGTATAGGCATCTGATTTTACTTCATCAGAAAAATAGGTGGGAAAAGAAACTCATTAACATTTGCTGTATAGATGAAAACTCCCTGGGACCTAATCACATTTGGAAACACTCCATTTTAATCAGTATGTATCCCATATTTTTAGAACTGGTGCAATATGCATACTGTCCCCATCACACCCGATTACTACGATTCTTATGTTTAGAAATAATGCGTGTTGACTCATGACGCTATGTAAAGCTGGCTCCTCCTAATCCATTCAAATGCCTCCCTACATCACCCCATCACCACCCCCAAATATTGTGCAGTGATGTAGCCTGGAAATCTCAAAATACTTCAGCAATATATGAAACCATAATAAAAAAAAAACACAATTAGAATCCTGTGTGCAGTTACTCCTTTTCTGCAACGTTTGCAGATGCATTCCAACAGATTACTGATGAAATGGGGCAAATGTCATGTGATGTGACCCATCTGGAATTGTTTTCAGAGAGTCTCAGAAACAGAGGATTTCACAGTGTGATAAGGTCCCTAGTCCATCTGTTTATTTGCTCTATTGTCAAACCAACTTGGCATATTCCATTCAGGTGTCATGTGGACCACTGGTTCAATTGTCACATCTTCAAGACCATGTGATGTTCCCACATGGATGTAATAATACACCCTTCATTATTTCACAGATGGAAATAGGTACATGCGTGGACAAACAATAGAAGCATCAGGACAATGTGACTGAAGTATTTAGTGAGAAAGAACATTTAAGCTAGGAGAAGCTGCAGCAGTTTATTTTGCCTAGCCCTCCTGGAAAGGACAGGATTCTGTCACTCTGTTGAATCAATTTAATGCAAACCAGATTTGCATTTTGAATTTAGTTTGCAGCAAGTGAAGGAAGACAAAGCAATGAAGGAAAGTGGGACGAGGAAAGAGAATCTGGAATATTTTAAAAGTTGTTAAAATAATGGGGTGAAAAAACATTAATCAGAACTATCGCAACAAAATAAGGATAGTTGAAGCATATATCGTGATTGAACAAGGTATAATGTTTGTAGCAGACCTATTCCTTGATCTGATTCATCTTTAGTGGAATGTCCTGTACAGAATAATTTACTCCAGGCTTTCAGTTGTGTGTCTAGAAAACTAGAAGAGTTAGCCTATGGCTTTAAACAGGAACCACATAACACTAAAACTTACACCTTTAAATATTAGAGGAGCTTATAGTCTTTTGAGAGCTCTCAAAACACAATAAGAGCATAAATAGATAAATGTTATGCAAACAGGCCTAAACAATGTGGTAAATCTCCCAGAAACAATTCAGGAACCAGCCATATGGTATAAATTCACACTAAATTTGAGTAAGAAAGACCTTTGTTTCAAAAAATAAAGATGCAATCCAAAGTTCAGCAATATAAACCTTTCAGTCTGGTGGGTGCTTATATTTATCCATTTGAAATCTGTGGATCCCAGCAGGGCTTGTCTATTGGCCCTATATCCCACCATCAGGACAGAACTCAATCCTGGATTTCCACATAATGTCCAGAGACATCCAGTTCATAATCCAGGATTAATCCAGTTTTAGCCTGTGTTAGGAGAAAGCCAGGGAATGAATTGGAATGTCATTGAAACTTAAGAGCAGCTCTGCACCCTGGCGTTAGTGTGGACAGGTGGACCTGCTATAATTCAAACTAGTCCATTGTCCACACAGCCAGATGCTGCCATCTTATTTTCCCTGTGCTCCCTGTTGCACTGAAAAGGGGATGGTTTAGGACCATGTCACCCTTTCATTGCTATGCAGATTTCCATAGAGCTCTGGAGAACTTGTGGTCATCTTTGGGTGCCTTTGGTGACTTCAGCAAAGGGCAGTGTGGCCATGGAGAGAGGATTGCTCCCCTTGCCCTCCCTAATTGTGCTGGAACAATTTCAGAAGTCATCAAAGATGCCCAGTGGCAGCCAGGAGATCTCTGAGGCTCTGGGAGCAGTGACATACAAGGTAAAGTGACTGTCCAGAGGGGCCAAATTGATTTTGGCCCAGCCGGACAGTCTGGACTCCATCCCACCACTGCTGTAGCTGCCCCCAGGGCCAGGATGGGTTATTGCTACTATAGACCAGTTTCGGATTAAGTGACTAATGTGGATTAGCCTTTAAAATGGCTGAACTTTCTAGCCCTTAAATGTTAAAGGCTAGAAAAATATCTTCTTTATAATATACTTCTTGTTAACTACATAATGGCTTAAATATGGGCTAGCCACACAGCCTGTGGTTGAATAAAGACAAAGATGCATGCACAAGTATCAGTGTTTCTGAAAGAAAGGATAAACAATGCAACCCAGAATGTGAAGTGCTATTTAATTTGTTTGCGGCTGAAAAAGAGTTAAATGTTTAAAATAGCTATTTGTACTTTGCATGCAGAGATGTATGTCTGTTATCATCTTGACATATTTGATAGCGTTTGATGGATTTTTCTAAGATTCTCATTAAGATTTGTTTCTAAAAACATTAGCAGCTTAAACATATGAACATCCTGGGGCGGTGTGAGTGTGTTCATCTTTCCTTTTGACTGTTTCTGGAACTTGTATTGTTGAAGGCTTCCATGGCCGGAATCACTGGGTTGCAGGTTTTTTTGGGCTATATGGCCATTTTGTAGAGTTTCTGGAACCCGCTTTTTAGCATTTGGCTGCCAGTAGTGGAGTGGGTAGTGGAGTGGTTACAGTGTTGTACTGGGATTTCTAGAGAACTTATCGAAGGAAAAGTGGTGTATATATGTAATTCACATTTTTTTAAAAAAATGGAATAGGACAAAAACATATAGTAATATAATTTTTGTAACAAATTTTAAACCCGATCTTGGAAAAGTTATCTTTTGGATGATAGTTCTCAGAGGCCAAGCTAGTTGGGGATTTTTTTGTAATCTACAAAATACAACTTTTCCAATTTTAGAAGAAAGGTGGAATATAAAATCAAATCAATCAATAGTGCCCTAAAAGTGTCACACTATTCTTATTAGTTCTTCTTGTTAACTTCTGTCAGATTGGCTCATGTTAACCTTATGAATGCGAGACCTCCAAGACACTTTGTCATCAAAATTTTTACTCAGGTCTTGCAGACTCAGGGCCCTTCTACACTGAATGCTTAAGAACACTGAAGTAACCGAGACAAAAGGGGGAAGGTGGCTAAACAACATTTAGCGAAAGTGCAGGCAGAATTGGGTTAACACCTGAAAAGCACATGTTGAAAAAGTGTGCTTAAAACTTAATTTTGCTCCAAAATGTGCACCTTCACATTATTGTATATCCCTACAGTCATGCAAACCACGTGATTTCCTTTCCTTCCCCCTGTGTGGTTTGCTTCAGCACACGTGCACATTTTTAAAGCCCGAAACAGCTGATCAGGCTGTCAAAAATGGCATCATGGACACACAGGTGCCTAAAGGGAAGCACAATTAGAAAGTAATTAGAACTCTTCACAACCAGTCCTTTATTTAGATCTTTATAATATTAAACAGAGCTTGAATTAATGTTTGGGTGAAGAGAAAGAATAAGAAATCTGCTTGTGTTTACTTTTGGATGTCTGGATGTGCCCATATGTGATTTAGGACATCTCTGAGAGATTTTTTTTAAAAAAATCTTCCACCAGATGTCTCCCTCCACCCTCCATCTTGATCTGCTTCAAAGGAAGGTGTAAGGATGGCAGGGGAGCATTTCCCTGGACTGACAAGTCTGTATATGGACTTGCTGTCAGGTCCTGGGATTTTTTGCCCCACTTTTAAAATCTGCATTTTGGCACTGTCTGGAAGTGCCCTCAGTTGTTATTAGGAGATTAAAAATTATTTAAAGCAGAGATAATCAAATTTACTGGGTGCTGGTTTGCTTTTTAATTATAAAAACAGTTCAGTTATGACCCTCAAAGCCTACTAGGGCATTATGGACTGTTTAAGGTTATTTGGGGCTTCTACAGACCTGTTTTAGGTCTGTTTTGAGGGTTAACTCAAAATAACTTCCAGTTTCATAGAACTCTATTTAGGATTTAAAACTACTGGGTGAGGGGAGGAAGGGCAATTTGCATCTGATTTGTAAATTATGTTCATGGGCTTTTTGGGGTGTGTGATTGATCATTATCACAAAGATATCTTTTTGCACTGGAAGGGTCCCCCCCCCCCAGATATTTGAAATGCTTTGAGGCTTGTTATATGAGCCCTGGGGGCCACATGAAGTGTGCAGATCATACCATATCCATTGCTCTTTACATTAATTTAAAATAACACAATTCAAGGCACACTATAAACATGATACAACAATTAAAAAAACCCTTCTTCCTAGGTGAGTTGCTCTTGGAAATAGATATTTATGGTTTGACTCAGTTCCATGGAGGCCATAATGTCTACAGCACTAGGTCAGACAGAACGTCCAAATTCAATGTAGTGATCATCTAGTGTGCTACTGTATCTATGTGCCTGATTTTTGAATGGAGAAGCAATTGTGCTTCCCAGTGATGTATTTACCAGGAAAATTAAAGCACCATAAAATCAAAATATAATGATTAAAAGAAGCATGATGAGGTAGTTTGGCTTTGACTGTACAGATGCACATTTTGGTTTTGCTCATAGAGCACGTCTTTGATGAGTTCCCTTTCCTTAACATGAAAAGTAAATAATAGCCACTATTTTCAGCTTTCTACTTCACTTTTAATGATCAACAGAAATAATATGTTTGCCTTTCTTCATGTTTGGCAGTCTACGGCACAATCGTCACTAGCAATGATGAATTGCTTGATACTCTTCTCGTTCTTCTTTTCAACTGATAAGAAGTTGAAGGTAATATTCTTGGGATGTTTGTGCGGGTGTCACAAACCTCCACTTTAAATTTAGTCCTTCTTGTTATTAGGAAACCACAAATCAGGAGAGTAATGAATACTAAAATGAAGATTGGTGCATCAAAGAATAAGAGATCTGAACAACGTCTTTTGGATATGGAACAAGAAAGAAGTTCATTTCTTTTTAGCTCAGATATAGGTCTTTTGTGAAGTGAAGGAGGAGTAAAGCAAGTCACACCACCAGTGTGCGTGCTTTCCACTTGGTCTTCTAACCAGTTTCTCAGATACAGAATTCCACAGTCACAGTGCCATGGATTACTTGATAAATTGATGACTTGCAGCATCTGAAGGTTATCAAATGCACCTGGCTGTATTGTTTCCAATTTGTTTTCCTGGAGGTACAGTTCTTGTGTTGAGCTGGGTAGGTGAGGAAGTGTCATCAGTTCTCTGAAGCTGCAGTCCACTTTTAGTGGGTTCTGATCTGATGGTGAACAAGTACAACGGTCAGGACAGGAACTTGCTGAGGCAGTCTCAAGGAACAGAAAAATCAGCAGTCCTTGACATGTGACCATTCTGAAATTAAAACCATGGCATCAGTTCAAAGAAACTAAATGAATTTTTATTTAGTTTTGGGTCCCATTTCCAAGATATCTCCTCATCTATATATATGCAAATATAAATATTACAAACCACCCCAAAGTCCCAAATCCAAAACATTTCTAATCCCAAGCATTTTGGATAAAGGATCTTCAGCCTGTATTTTGTCTGACCAAACATTTCAAATATCTTAATTTCAAGTATTATCTCCATTTTGTATTTTCCCAGACAAATCATTTTTCTTTCTCGTTGAAAGCAGGGATGGAAATCACATGGTCCTCCAGATGTGCAACACCCAGCATTCTTCACTGTTAGCTATGTTGGCTGTTGCAATCCAACATCTGCAGGGTCACATTTTTTTGAGTCCTGCCTTAAAGCAAGGAGAGCCCAGGGTTCAAATAACTGTTCAGCCACAGAAACACACTGGGTGACCTTCAGCAAGTCATTCTCTCCCAGACTCAGTATACGGCAGTGACAAGCATCCTTTGACTGAATCTTGCCAATAAAACCCTAGTAGAGGGTTACCATAATTTATATTTGAAGGCATAAACAGTTTAAAGCAAAGGTTCAGTTGTGACTTTGTTTGCACTGCAGGCAGAACAAAACTTGTCTTTGACTCATGTCATTTCATGATCACACATACGTGAACTGTTCTTGTTGCATATGTATCTTCTACACATAGGTTACATACTCCACAGTGTTCCCTGGACTCACACCATGCTTTTCCTGTTTGGACAGTGGTTCATCAGTGCACAAAAGTGTATTGTAGGAAGCGTATTTGTGTTTACAGGGAACAAAATATGCCGGAGCTGTTAATTTATTTGATTTTTCAAAAGACCAACACTGAAGTACCAAGTGAATGATCAGTTTAGTTTTCAATAAACAATTTTCCTTCCTAGCAGTACTGTGGTATGGTGTACCGTACCATAGACGGGTTCTTCTGTTCTAAAATTCAAGTCCAAATATAAAGCCAATTCGAAAGTGACCTTGCTTTATTATGTCAAGTCTGGCATATTAGAAATAGTGGAGACTTCTATTAATGTTTGGCAGCTAAACTTGTAAGCCTAGGCCTTGTGAACTGCTGTATTTTATTAGGGAAGTCTGTTTATAAACCAAGCACCCATGATTTGTAGGGCACTTGCTGATTTGAGATTTAAAGTTTTCCCTGTAGAAAATAATGGTTCTCCAGCAATATGGCCAACTTCTGCAAGAGCTGGCGGTAGAATCGTGCTAGAGGACCTATAAAAGTCCAGAGAAATGTTTCCTCTGAAATCTCTAGGTCCTCCAGTGAGACTCTATGGTCAGCCTCTGGCAGAGATTCTCGGAGAGAACATGTTAATCAAATCCATTAATAGTCACATTTAAGAAAACTAAACCTGGACAACTGCATATAATTTCACAGAGGCTTCATTGCTTTCTCTTCCCAATAGTCACAAACTGTTCTCAATTCTGGAGTGGGTGGATGGCAGAAGAGGGTTCAACTTTTTGCTAATGGCTTGTGCTTTCACCCACCATTTACCTCATCATTGGCCAATGTATCTGAAGGGTAATAGTCGCTTACCCAAAAATACCCTATGTACTTACGAAATTTTAGTTCAAAATCAACGCCCAAAAACTAGATCAACTTATCAACATCCCCTTCTCTAGTTTCAAAAAGCAAGAGCTTAACCTGTCCTGAGAACCTAACAGTGACACCAACTCCTTCTGGCCTTTTTGAATGCCTGAATGGAGAAATGGTGGAGGCAGTCAGGAGCAGCTGACCCCTTGGGGTAACACTGGCGCTTTCCCTTCCCCATAGAATGACACTCAACCTATCTATGGGTCACATCAAAATCCAGATAGATAGATAGATAGATAGATAGATAGATAGATAGATAGATAGATAGATAGATAGATCAAAAGACAACTTGGCAAACTGGCACTACCTAAAAGAATCCCACACCTTGTGTGACTGTGGAGCAGAACAGACAACTCTGCATCTGTATGCGTGTCCACTATTCCCTGCCTCATGTACAGAGGAAGAATTGTTGGAGGCTACAGACAATGCTATTGCTGTTGCCCTTTTTTGATCAAAAGATATTTAGCTGCCTGCACTCCTATTTCTATCAGTTTTATACTAATTTATACAATGCTTTCGATATGAAATAAATAAATCAAAATCCATAATTTTGGGCCCTAAATCTGCCGTTGAATTACACATGAGTTTGACTTGCACATGAATATATGGAGTATGTGTTAAGATTTAAGGATATTCTAAATGTGTTCATTTGTATGAGAATATTTTGGGGGAGAATTATTTATTAAAATATGTATACCCCACCCTTTATCTGAATATCACAGGAAAATAAAACCAATCTAATGAAATTCAAAATAGCATATATAATTAAAATAACTTTAAAAGGCTAATTAAAAGCATTAACATAGTTTAAAATGAATTGAAACCATGTGTATGGGAAAATTTTGTAAAATAAATTAGACTCCAAAAGATTTTATAACTAACTGTGTTGTTACTTGGTATCAAAACAACAGCAGTGTTGACTCCAATAGGGCTTCCAAAAGAAAATGTTTCAGAACATCAGTTTTGATGTGTGAAAACTACATTTACTTTATCAAATGGTGGGGGTGGGAAGGGGATCCTTGTATCACACACAGGAATTTTAATGATCAGTTAATCCACATGTACCTTAAAACATATAGGTTTATGAGAGAGTTGCAGTATGGAGTTCCAAAATTTCAGCTGCCCCACTCTCATCTCCTTCCCCTTGTCCATGTTTTTTCTGTTTAGCTTTTAGTAAGGTTCCTGTGATCATGAACAAAACTGTGTGATAATGTTTTGAAAATGCATTATCACATTGCAGTGTTATAGGACTATTTTTGCTGTTTATCAGCCTTGGCTGCATCCTATGGAATCCAGCTGTTTGTGGATTAGTGAGGCCCAAGAGCTCTCTGGCTGAGAATCCTAAATGTGCTTCCTTAAACTCCAAATCCCATAGGAATCCCTAGGATGTTGTCATGGCAGTTAGAATAGAATAAAAGCACTATTACAGTATAGTGTGATAAATATGTCTTCATATAGTGTTATTGGCATTCCTTCCAAAGTGCTTCTCTCAGCTACCAAACTATGTTTGCACTTCTGTCAACCTTGGGATGTCCGCAAGACTTCCCTTCTCACCCTATTACATATTGACAATCTTAACATATTGCAATAGGATAAAACACATTGAATTGAGGGTAAAATTGTCAATTCTAGTGCATTGCAGAGTAATAACATGGCTGCTTTTCAAAACAGTGGTTGTGCAGAGTAAAGTGTGCCCCATCACACTCCTACAACCCCCCCCCCTCAAATAAAATCCCATCAGAAGGTGGAATAAAAGTAAGATAAATGAAAATTTACACTTTTTGTGTTTGGAAGCAAGTTATAATGCAGACTAGATAGATGTTAAAGAATCATAGAATCATAGAGTTGGAAGAGCCCCTGTGGGCCATCCAAACCAACCCCCTGCCAAGAAGCAGGAAGATCTCATTCAAAGCATCCCAACAGATGGCCATCCAGCCTCTGCTTAAAAGCCTCCAATGAAAAAGCCTCTACACTCCAGGACAGAGAGTTCCACTGCTGAACAGCTCTCACAGTTAGGAAGTTCTTCCTAATGTTCAGGTGGCATTTATTATTGTGTGGTTTCTTGTGTAGCATTTATTATTGTGTGATTTCTCTGTTATCTCTCATAAACATTGCAATACGCCAGTGAATTCTGCACCCTCTCGATGAAGAATTTTTTATTTTCCCTTTATGGATTATTTTAATGATAGCCGGCATACACAATGTTGGATTGTTGCTCACAAAAACAAACACCAAACACAATATATATTGTCCCACTTTGTTGCAATGGTTGGGACAAAAAATAAAAACCAGGGCTGGTTAACTGATGTGTTTGGGGTCCTTCCCTGAACTCTTCTGCATGAACTACTATACGTAATAATAGATCAGATCAATAAATTGGTTTGTACATGTTTTCGTCGTGGCTAACTTTTTCAATATATAGAAAAACTAAAAGGTGCTTAGCTGAAATTTATTTATTTATTTTTTTAAAAAAGTATGTTAGGTGCAAACTTCACAGAATGCTTGGGTGGCAGGTTGGTGTCTTTGTGGATATTGTGACAAAGCATGACTACAAAATGTCTCATTGCAGTGAAAGAGGATTAAAATACTCAGTTTATGCCCTTATTGTGTGGTGTCTGTATGTGTCTTCAAGTTGCCTGTTGACTTATGGTGATGCCATAGGGTTTTCTTAGGAAAGGTATACTCTGAAGTGCCTTCCTCTGAAAAATGACATATAACTCTTAGCATTCATTAGCATTCTCCCATTGAAGTACTGGCAAGTTTTTCCAAGATTTCATGCATTTAGGGTATTTAGATGTTTTTCTGACTTCAGTGTTATAGGTTGACTTTTTTCTACTTTTTCCTACACTCCCTTTATAGTAATATGGAAACAACATACATTTGAAAACAGCTTAGTCACCAAATGTAACACTTACTTCAAGTCCAAAACACATGGAGGGACCACCTTGTTTGTAGCTTTGCATTCTTTTATTTTCATTTAAGGATATTTATGCCGATTTTCAGGATTCTCTGTATTTTCTTCATTGCATGAAAAAGCAGAACAGGTTAGCCAGTGCATCGGGGCCCTTTCTCGAACTCCTCTGGAACGCCTTTTCTGTGTGGCTCATTTTAGATGGGTGACATACTAATTTCTTGCTTCTGTGGCTTGTGACAAGCAGACCTGTCATCGTCAGCATACGGCAAGCAGCTCCACTTGATTGGCTGCGCAGGAAGTGGGCAAACACTCATGAAGGAAGTGGCTAGCAGAGATAAGCTGGGGCTGCACTTTCTATCCCCTCTGTAAGCTTGTTAACTCACTCTCTGGAAGGATTCTCTTAGATAAAGGCATACTGGTTTCCACCTGATAAGCAGAACTCTGCTTATTGGAAATACCCCGGATCCTCACTGGCTTCTTTAAGACCTCTAAGAAAATGAGTTCTCAAAGCAACGCCTCAGCAGTCTTTGGTATATGCTGCATTCATTTCTAGTTTTTCAGAATCCTTTTGTGTGCCGTGCTTAGGCTGGTACTATTCTGGTTTTTTATTCTATTTAATTGGCCAGGCTTGTTTTAAATCGTAGCTTCTATTTTCTATACCTGCTGCTCTGAGATCTTCAGATATAGTGGAAGGAAATACCACCTGAATGTCCTGGTAATAGACTTCTCGTGTTAATTTTTTAAAAATTAATATTAGGTTATTTGTTCTCATTTTAGCAAAATAGCTGGGCTTCTTTGACTTTTGAGCTTCTTATGTTTTCAGATATTTATTTTAAAAATAAAACTGAATGCTATGGAATCATGGGATTCATAGTTTGGGTTTTTTTTTTTTATCATGTCAGAAGCAACTTGAGAAACTGGAAGTTGCTTCTGGTATAAGAGACGTTGCCCAGGGGACATCCAAATGTGTTACCATCCTGTGGGAGGCTTCTCTCGTGTCCCCGCATGGGAATCTGGAGCTGATAGATGAGAGCTCACACCATCTCGTAGTTTGAATTACCGACCTTCAGGTCAGCAGTTCAGCCAGCAGGATTTAACCCATTGCACCACCGTGGTGAAGCACCTGGACTCTGACCAGAAAAACAAACATTCTTGTAAAACTACGTCTCTCATGAATCCATAGGATGGTCAAAAGTGATGTCAAACTTCATCCTCAGTTGCATTGCTGAGATTGCTACCTTGGGGCTGCTGCAAAATGTTTCCATGTTCCCTGTAGAATGATCATGATCTGTTGGCTCATGACCTTGGACTGTATTTTGTCTGCCTGTTGTTTTGCTTGTTTGTTGTTTCAAAATAGAGTAGTTAGACCCTGCTTGTTTAGTGGCAGTGGATCCCCCACTTGGCTTACCTGTGGTGCTACCCTTGGATATATCAACATTACATAACGATAGCACTTCAGCAACCTTTTATTTGTCATTGCTCCACTCCATGGAGCTCTGCAATTTGTGGTTTGGTGATATACTTTGGATTCTCATATTACATCATTACAGTAGAACAATTCTGCTTTTATTCGCCATGGTTCTGTCAGATGGGGTCCTGGGATTTCTAGTTTAGGGAGGAGTGTTTCGTATTTTCAGCCAGAAAGCTCTAGGGCCCCATCAAACTACAAACCCTGGGATTGCATAGGATGCAGCCATGGCAGATAAAGTAGGATTATAATGGTGTAATTGTGTTGGAAATGGACTCTGCCCCCGGACTACCAATTGTGAAGGCCTTCACTAATGTCCATAGACTCTGGATTGTTAGATCATGTAATTTGCCCACATGGAAACAGGACATCAACTCCCTTTTGCTGTTTTATTGTTGATTCTAACCAATGTTTTTCCATAGTCTCTTTACCATAGTCTCTTTGGATGGACACTTGATTCTTTTCGAAATACAGACATTTTGATATCTTGGCAATAATTGCTGACAAACAGTACAGATTGCTGCCATAATATCCTGTGAAATGCATCTGGTGTAAGTGAAAAATTGGCAATCATGTGAGAAAGGGTGAATGAAATGGAAGGAATCTTAAAAGAGAAAAATAAACAGCTTTGGAACTCTGCCAAGCACAGGTATACTTTATTTAAACCAACAAATCCCCTGAACAATTTTAATGGCATATAGCCTGTTAAATAACAAATGGCTTTCTGGTATAACCTAATAAAGTATTGGGGAGGAGAAAGGATGCTAGATTGAATCGGGGATATATCAGTGCAGTTGCAACCGTATGTTCAGAGCAAAAGTTATTGCCAGCAGAACTGTTATTGGTCTTAAAAACAAGTAATAAGGACTGTAGACTCTGCTGGAAGTAGTACTAAAGATTCAGTGTTGCAGCTGAGAAATTCAGTCATGCAGTTGTTGGAGACAGATATGCACATATTCTTAAAAGAACCAGGAGAAAATATGAGACTGACTCTATTCACAGGAATATAATGTTGTATAGTGCTGCACAATGGAGGCCATATTTCCTACTCTATCAATTGGTTTCTTGACTTATTTATTTACAGCATTTTTATCCCACTCTTTTCAGCCCAAAGTCAACTCAGGATGGCATACAGATTGGCAACAGATGCCATAAACATACACATACATATCAATTAAAAACATTTCGTATCACATAATAAAAATCCATATAAAACCATTTAAAACTATAATAATTAATGTCTACCAGTTCAACTCCTTATCCATTTGCATCGTCTAAGCAGTTCCATGTTTGTTATTTCATCAAACTGCATTTATCCAATTGGCAAGTTTTCATTGAGTGATACAAAACTGCTTCAATAAATTCATTTATTATGCAGTATAATGCTAACCAAGCACTCCAGTCCACATCAATTAAGGTGACAGTATGTATGTTTAGTTTTCTTTAGTCTGGTATTTAGATTTATTTGAAGTAAACTTGTTTCAAATATACCACCATGTTTTAATACTTAATTTGAGAGCAGGATTTGCATAACATTAGCATTATTGATTTGCTTTGGGAATGCTTATGCAGCTAAATGCCATGATGGCAGAAACTATTGTGGTCATTTACATGGCACTATGGTGTACCATTAACCAATGTAGCTGTAATTTGCTACAAGATAATTTACACAGCCATACCTCCTTCTCTTTATTGACTTTTATTCTAATGGTAGTTATTGCCAGTTTGAAAAATATGGAATGGCTACTAAAACAACAAAGCAGAACCTATACTATGACTTTAGATTCAGCAGCTGTAATGCAGGGGTAACCAAGCCGATGAGAATACAAATTCCAAAGTTTCTTGTGATCATCTTTTTATCAGACCAACCGAAATAGGTCAAAAATATATCTGCAAGCTTTTGAAGAGTGCTTCTTCAGACAAATGTGTTTTCAGAAAGCATGAAGGGGAAAGGAGAAGGTGAGTGACAGTGTTAGGAATCACACAGTGATGCCTGCATGCTCCCTCAGTTTGTACAACGCTGACCTTCACAGGTTACTTTTGTGTTCTTGTTGAAAGGCTTTTAGCCGCTATAACACCTTATTTTGACTTTTGGTTCTCGAGGTCATGATCCTGCAATAGTGGGACTTCAAAGGAGTGTGGTTTTCTGGCTGCCTTAGAGGCTAATTTCTTTGCCCGTTGCAAAATGAATAATGTTAAAATGAAAGCAATGACAACCATACAAATCAGAGCAATGTCCCTCCAAAAGAAATCGAGGCATTGGATTGGAAGAGGCTTCCGACAGCCTTCCAGTTCATTCCCATTCAGTTGACTCAAGGCTTTTCCCTTTACAGAAACTGGCGTGGCACACGTGACCTTGGCCAGAGCAGCTGGGCTGAAGTCTTCCAGCCATTTTTTGAGATATAAAATAGAGCAGTCGCAGTGCCAAGGGTTGTTGGAGAAATCAACTTCCCTCAGGTTTAAGTGGTCCAGTGCACCAGGAGGGAGAGTGGTTAAACTGTTGTTTTGCAGATAAAGGTTCTTGGCATTAGGAATCAAGGGAGGAATGTCTTTCAGTCCTAAAGAGCGGCAGTCCATTGTCCATCCACCCCACACATTTGCAAGAGGCTCACATGAACAGGGCGAGCAGCGTGTCGCTTGGGTTGCGCTTAACAGCATGAACAGGAGCAGTCCTTCAGCTGTGGAGATCTTCACTCTATCCATGCTTGCAGCTGTGGAGCAACAATAGGCACAACACAATGTGTTATTCTGTCTCACAATGCAAAACGTACTTGTTTTATTCTTCCAGAAGAAGTCCTGGGGCTTCAAAGGTATTTACTGCTGTGAATTCTTTATAAACAATATGTCATTGAGCACCCTACAATTTTGCAGAGAAGTAGAAGAAAATTTGCAGGAAACTTGTGCTGCTTCTGTGTAAACACTCATCACCAGTACTGTACCAGAGTCATTGTCTAACCCCATCCCATTTTTCCTTTCAAAGAAAATGGAATTGCCCATGTTGATTAGTTTACAGTGGTCATGGAAGACTACAAAGGGTTGGATTACATTCCCATGTTTGTAAGGAGCTTGATTTGTCACTTTGAGATTTGGAATATAAGCCTCTGGTACATGCATTAGCAAATGTCCAAAGGTCAATTCTTTGTGTTTTGAGATCCCTCATTTGGACCTGTTAGGCCACTGAACAGCCAAAAAGTCTAATGTTCTCACCTGTGTACTTTTATTTAATTCAAGGAACATGCTCACTGTGACCTAGAGTGTTTTTTTTGGGGTGTGCAGGAGGCAATTTTCTGGCCTAATGGCTCAAAGCTAAATTGCAAAATGTAGCAGTTGCCGCCCACACACCTAAAACGTGCTTTAAAATGTGTATCTAATCTCCAAATCATCTGATAAACACATGAAAAAGCAGTAATTCCATGATAGAGCACTTGGAGTATATGGTGAGTGGAAAAAAACAGTGCCTACCTCCTCCATAGTTGCATACTCCTCCTTTAATGGGACATGAAAAGGAGTATCAAAACTATAAAAATTTAGTAGGTTTAGTTCAGCTGATTTAGTCCTTTACATTTTGAATTAAAACTCAAAATTGAATCACCTTTTTAACATGGATGTTACTGGCAGCAGTTGAATGTAACTTTAGAAGCTTTTCAATTAAGTCATTGTACACATTCAGCTAGTCACCAAGGGTGCATCTGCACTGTAAAATTCATGCAGGTTGATACCACTTTAGCTGCCATAGCCCAAAGCTATGGAATCCTGGGAGTTGTCATTTGTTGCTACACTATCACACATTGGCAGAAAAGGATAAAGACCTTTCAAAACTACAACTCCCATGATTCCCTAGCATTGATCCATAGTTGTTAAAGCTGTGTCAAACTGCGTTAATTCTACAGTGTGTAGATGTACTCTCAAGTGATGTAGATTAAATCTTTTCTATATAAAAAAGAACACTGAAAGTCTTGGGAGAGAAAGTTCATTTGGCTTCTTCCCTTCAATCAATGTGATGTAATAGTCGGAGTGTTAACTGAGACTCGGGAAATACAGGCTCATTCAAGTCTTTGTGCCACCAAGAGGATACATAGTAACTTTGGGCCTCTTATTGACTCAGCCTAAGCTTCTTCACAGTGAGAATCAACTGGGGTGGGGGAGTAGTGTATAAACCTCTTTGGATTGCCCTTTGATGGAAAATGGAGGAATATAAATAATTAAATATTGCAACAAAAAAAAATCTGAGTATGGTTGGACCTGGTTGGCGCCATTGGCTCTGCTTTTTGGCTGCATCCATGTTATTCATGCTGTCATGACAGAAGGGCGAGGCCAGCCATCGTGTGTTTTGTAGTTTTTCCCTCATTAGGTTTCTGTTGGTGGAATTGTGAAATAAATGAGTTGGCAACAATGTAGCAATATGGATGATGATATGGCCTTGCACAGCTGAGCCTATGCGTCCCTTGATGTAGGACCATGTGTGGTAAACAACTCTGACTGCTCTGCCACTTCTCTTTTATCAATTCATATTAATCAGTTGCGTTCTGCATACCCTGCCTTATGTTTTCAAAAGATGTTTACTCATTTTGCCAAAATGAAGATAGCCAACCCATTGAGAGCACTGCACACAGATGGCATTATATTTTCATTTCACAAAATATGGGCCTGTCTAAATGTGCTGTTTAGATGTGGGTCAGATATACACATTTCCTATCTACCAGTTGATACATTTCCCAGAATTCTGCAGGAGGCAACCACAGGATAGAGAAATAGGCACCTCCACTTTATAACACTAATCTGGTATTGTCCTTAACCTACAGGTCCTAACCCTGCAAAAGTTGACCATAGTTTATACCACTTTAAGTTAAAAAGACAGTACATTTGTAGTTGGACTTTTGGGAATTTGATTATTCAGAGGCTTGATTAAATATGTTCTTTCTAGGAATCTCTTGAAATCTACTTCATCTCACTGAACATGTTAAATATTTGGAAGAGTAGGTTTACCATACAGCTCAGGCATACTCCGTTTTTAAATTGAATGGATTATTTTCCTACCTCCATCACACACCAGCAAACTATCTGTTTTATTCAGGAGTTCCCTGTTGATTTGCCATCACATTGTAGAGAGTTGTTACCTCCCACTGTCCCTCCCTCATTTTCTTTGTGAAAAGAAACACCTCCTCTTTTGGACTATTCTTTTTGTTCCCGGGTTATAAATGTCATTTCCTAATTCGTTTGATGATAAACTCATGGAAAAACTATATTAAATTGCAAGAACGTTGTCTTTGCAGGAGGGACATCTTGTAGCCCATTTTGCTCCAGTTTCTCAAAGGTCTTCTCTCTCTCTCTCTCCTTTATGTTGGAAGAAGGAAGTAAGAAGGGAAAGGAGGAGAGGAGGAGGTAACTCATGGCACACACAACACACAGAAGGAAGCCCCCAGAAAATGCATGAGACAGAAAGGAACACAACGTACTTCTGATCTTCCCTCTTCTGTGAGCAAAAGGTAATGGTAGAGCTTTTTCTCAAAGGGGCATTTTGGCTCCTGCCACAAATTGCATAACCATATCATTTTAAAGCTGAGAACTACGAATGCCATCACATGACAGAATTGACCCTTTTGCCCATCTCTGTCCAAATAATGTGCAAAAAAAAGCCACTTGCCAACCAGCTTAGAAAGTGTCTGAAAAGATAATCCTTCACAACCCCTTTTAAATACCAAGAAATGTGTACCCTACACTTGAAGCCTACGTCATGTGATGAACACAGTAGCTTGCCATTTCTTAAATGGGTGACTCAAAAGTATTTAAAGAATGTGATGAAGTGGCAGGTCCTCCAGTGTGACCCAGTCCAATTCCTCCAGTCATGCTGGGGGACCTAGAGGTTTCTGGGAATCTCTAGGTTCTACACTGATATTTTATGGTCAGCTTTTAGCAGAAGCTGGTGAAAGAGTCATACTGGAACATTTAGAAAGTCCTAGAGAGGTGTTCTTTCAATTTTTAAAAAGGGTACTGTTCCATTAACTGGGCAGACTCCAAAAGGGGACCTAGACAGAGATGGATCGTCCATTTTATGTTGGGGGGGGGGGGGCGAGTTGAAGGAGGAAAACAATTTTCCCCATTTTCACTGGTTATTCCCCTTTCCCTCTTCCCACATCATAAACGGGGGTTGTTTCCACAAAAGGGACAGGGGTGGGAGGAATAACAGGAAAACAGGGAAATGGTTTTCCTCTTTTAACCCACTCACCACCCTGATAAAATGGATTATCCTTCTCTCTCTAGCTCCCGCTGGTAGCCTCTGTTGGGATAATGAAACAGCATTTATTTATTTATTTATTTATTTATTTATTTACTTACTTACTTGTGACATTTATATGCTGCCCTTCTCACCCCAAAGGGGACTCAGAGCAGCTTGCAAGTTATACTATATGCATACAATATATTATATTACTAGCATAGTACAATATCAGTATTATATATTACTATATTGTACTGTACCATTATATTGTAATATAATGTCATTGTTTTACTGTTTTATTGTTTTGCTTGATGTTTTATTATTTGCTTATGAGTTTTACTGTGTATTGTATGTTGTTGTCGGTGGCCTCGGCCTTTGTAAGCCGCATTGAGTCCTTCAGGAGATTTTGCGGGGTATAAATAAAGTTAATAATAATAATAATAATAATAATAATAAATGCAATATAAAATATATAATTATCATATTGTATTATTAGTTGTATTATATTGCATTACATTATAAATATTATATGTATATACAATATATTATATTATTACAAAAAAGCAATTTGCCCTAACCCCAGTGAATGTGGAGGTCTGATTCCTCATGCATGGACTACAGAACTTTAGAAATTATTAAACCTATTTTAAAATTTAGCTAAATGAGTTCACCAACTTAACTGTCTAATATGTTTTTAGAAGAGTTGTACTGAAAATTCAGAGAAAATGTTAAAAGTATGGATTATTTTTAAAATAATATAGTATACATGCTATTGCAATAAAGGAAATATAAATTATATAACTATTAATAATAAATATCTCCCATTTATGTTAAGTCAAGTAATATAGTGGTGTTTTATGGTCATCTTTTCAAAATATCTTGAATAATATGCTGCAGAGGTATAAAATGAAAACAATCCACTTTGTCATAAAAGGTTCTTTAAAAGTTCATCTTTGCCATATGAGCTATTGACCCCAAGCCACAGGTTTGTTTATTGCCTTTATTAAGGCATAGGCTTAAGCCGAGGAAAAAGAATTTTAGATTTCTGAATAGAAATTTTTGAATGTTTGTTTGGCACTCATGGAAGAAAATTACTCCAGTCTTCCTCTGTAAGGAGACAGTCTGCCAAAGCTTGAGTCAGTATTGCTCTATTTACACCAGTTTTGCAACAATGGCCAAGAGTTATAAACAGGAATATTCAAATGTTCTTTTCACCACAGTAAAGCCAATAAAGCCTATTTGCAGCAGAGTAAGGGGCAAAGGAAACACTGAATACCATTCTCCTCCTCCTCCACCACCACCACCACCTCTTGCTGGGGAAGCAACTATGACAAATGTGGAGAAGAACACCTGGCTGCGAAATATGAGACAAGATGGAACCAAAAAGGGCAATATCGTTCTGATCTGCCTCTGAGGTTATTGTCTGGAAGAGAGAGGGTAGGACATAACTTGGTAGCAATATTCATAGCTGAAAAAAGTGCTTTATGTTCAAAATTGCCCCAGTCTTTATTTAATAACATACTCTAATTGCTCCACCACTGGCAGCTTTAGAATAAAATGTTTGGAGGTTTGTTGTTGTGTGCCTTCGAGTTATTTCTGACTTATGACAATCCTAAGACAACCCTATTACAGAGTTTGCTTGGCAAGATTTGTTCAGAAGGAGGTTAACTTGCCCAGTGGGTTCCCACAACCACGTGGAAATTTGAACCCTGGACTCCAGAGTTGTAGACCAACTTGGTAGTCAAATCACTACACCACATTGGATTTCATGGTGACTATATGCATTTATCCAAGGTAATGCTGTTATATGAAATCTATTAGAAACTGGTAACAGAATGCTAGTTGCCTAAAGACAGATGAGCAAATATTATCCTGGAAAAATATCCTGTGTAGTTAAACAAATTAGCTAAATGATGCAAAACCATATGAAATGTTCTTAGAATTACAGCCCAAAAGATTATCAAATGCACCTCTTACCTTGTTTTAATTTGTATAAATAAGTGCTAGCTTTTTCTCAGTGAAGCTTCTAAGTCCTCCAGGAATGGACCAAATAGAAGAACTCCAGGAAGGAAATGAGTTTATATAGAACTCACCACAGAAGCCAGGGCTCCTCTATTATCTGACTGAACACAGTTGCTTTTGCAAATGCGCCATGCCAGCTTCTTATAATGAGCTATTGTTCTTATATGCTTTAAAATTACTTTCATTAGGCAAGGCAAAATAATTCCAAAAGCTTGTTGAGCAGCCTTTTTTACTCCTTAAAATGTGGTAAAACGATTTAGCAAGATGAAATGGCTTCTTTCTAACTCTTGGTTTATGGGCTATTCACCAGCACAGCAATATGTTCTTCCATCCTATCGCTCTGTGTGCACTCACGTGCACATATGCAAGCATCAATATAAACACATAAAACATTATTCAGTTGGGACTATACCCTTCAGGAATATATATATATATATATATATATATATATATATATATATATATATATACGCCTTGGGAACAAGCCCCACTGAGGACTTACTTTAGAGTAAATAGGTAATGTTTAGATGTCCTAGTCCAGTTCAGTATTTCTTAAACTCTGGTTCACCAGGTATTTTGGATTTCAGCTTTCAGAATGTGTGATCATAATCCAAGCCATCTGAGACTTTTGGAAGATGAAATCCCAAATGCCTGGAAGACTAAAATTTGGGAACCACTGGTCTAGTGACTTCTCAACTTATCCTATACAGGACAAGTTGTATCTAGACACTCCCCCCCCCCCCAAAAAAAAAGGGCAGGTTTTTCAAGCTGGTGTGTTGACAGAAGTCGGAATGGACTTTTCCCCTGTGTGGAACTGACTCCATTTATACATGGCTATTATGTTTCCTTTCAACCTTCTGTTCTGCAGGGTAAACATACCCAGTTCTTTGAGGTGCCCCTCATACAGCATGGTCTCCAAACTTTTGATCATTTTAGTTGTCCTCCTCTTAAACTGTGGTGCCCAGAGTAGTAGAGAAATAACAATCTCATAAATATACAGTATTAGGATCAGAGGTCTGTTTAATGTGGTGGAAGTTAAAACATTGGACCAGCAGATAAGAACTATTTAAACTATTAAGATCTCTCGGCTAGAGTCTACCATATGTGTGGTGGAAGCTCCTTCCTTGGAAGCTTTTAAACAGAGGCTGGATGGCTATCTGTCAGGGGTACTTTTATTGTGCTTTTTCTGAATGGCAGGGGGTTGGACTAGATGGCCCACGTGGTCTCTTCAAACACTATGATTCTATATTATATAGTATGACTTAAAATGTGAAAATCTCCTCCCACTGTAACAAAATATAAAATGATACATAATATTCATAAATCAATATCCAAAGGCCTTGTATCTGGACTCTACAATAAACTAAGGCTATTAGCTTATTGTAGAGTCCAGGGTGGAGTATAAGACTATATCATAGTCCACAAATATTGAAAGCCAAATTGTTTTGTAGTTGTTAAAACTTTAAATAGCAATTGTCATCCTTCCCTTTGTTTTCTAATTGCACTCCTTCCTCTTAATTTAGCCACCCATATTGCAAAGTCTGTTTGGTCACATCCAGTTTGTTCCTCCTCTATCCTATGTGGAATAATTTACGGTGATATCCTAGGTGCACTAGTTCCAGCTGCTTCCGTGTGTGCATGGGGACAGGCTTGGCAAATGTCACCTCTTTGCAGAATACTATGAGTTTTCCCTTCAGGCTATAGAAGAGCGACAATGTTGCAGATGCAAGCACATTTTTCACCCTCTTGTGTCCTCAAAGCTTTTTTCCAAGGGAGTGTTTTCTTCAGGGGATTGATTATTCCATCCGTTGTGTGAGCACAGCTTGCATTCACCTGCGGAGAGACTCATGCATACAAATGATGGCGTGATTGAGCTCCTGCTGTTGTTCTGGGCAGAGCTGGGCTTCAGGACATTCAGCTTAAAGTGAAATGTTTAGATGAAGGATATGGCCTGACTGCCAGGGTCAAGCAGCCCAAGTAAAACCCTCTACATTATCTTTTTTGCAATTACTTCTGACTTGAAGGCAAATGCCCCCTTTGCTCCTTGTAGTAAAGGAGTTTCCTATAAACCAATTCTAATGATGTAGGAGTTTGCACATTAGAACCTTCTCACCTGATTCTTTTCATTCAGTGAAGTTTAATGTTCTGGTTTAAGTTACCTGATCACCTAGTGACTTTTGTATAGGGCTTTAGTCAGAAATTGACAACTTGGATTTTTGATTCCCCAAATGAGCAATCAGTTGAAACTTAGGAGTATATCGCATGATGCCGTTATTACACAGCATTTGTGCAATCGGAATTAACAGCAATTTACTGCCATGGTAATTGTCAATATCAAATCTCTATTTCATTGCACGACTGCAACACTTCAGCTGTGAAAAATTTGGTTGTGTTTACACAGGTCACCAAGTGCAAACATTTTAGCTGGCCATGTAACTGGTTTGAAGACTGGGAAAGCAATGCTGTGAAACATTGTTTAATAATTTCTTCCCTTGCCTTTTTTGTGAAAGCATGAAATGGATGATGCAGTTCACAAAATCAGCAACATCAGTATCATCTAAAATAATTTTAATTTATTGTTGAAGGCTTTACACCATGCAGCTGTGGACAAGTCTACATAGGGACCACCAAATGCAGCGTTGCCCAAACACAAATCAAGGAACATGAAAGGAACTGCAGAGTAACTCAGTCAGACAAGTCAGCCTTAGCAGAGCACCTGATGAACCAACCTGGACACAGCATATTATTTGAGAACACAGAAATGCTGGACCACTCCAACAACCACCATGTCAGGCTACACAGAGAAGCCATTGCAATCCACAGGCATGTGGACAATTTCAACAGAAAGGAAGAAACCACAAAAATGAGCAAAATCTGGCTACCAGTACTAAAAAAACTCTAAAGTCATAACAGTAAATAAAGAAAAAAAACACTCAAAAATAGGGGAATTCCAGACAAGAAACAATTAGGGACATCACCTCCCCAGACAGTAAGAAGCCAGACCTTTAAACTGCTAGGCATTAAATGCTAATCAAGGTGGCCAATAGAAACATTCCCACCTACCTCAAATAGACAAGAGTTCTTTCTCCCACCCACAAATATATAAACCCATTTTCCTAGTTTACAACAGACCTCACAACCTCTGAGGGTGCCCGCCATATATGCAGGTGAAACATCAGGAGAGAATGCTTCTGGAACATGGCCATACAGCCCAGAAAGCACACAACAACCCAGTTTTCAATTCTTTATCATTTCATTAACACAGGAGTGGGCCACGGTAGCAAAGTGAGTTAAACTTCTAGCTGCAGGAAAGCTGCTGACTGAAAGGTTGGCAGTTCAAAGCCGCGTGTTGGGGTGAGCTCTCGACTGTCAGACCTAGCTCTTGCCAACCTAGCAGTTGAAAAGCATGCAATGCGAGTAGATCAATAGATACCGCCTCAACGGGAAGGTAAAAAGTGTGCCCCATGCAGATATGCAGACATACTGCCAACACAATTGGAGATGTCAATGGACAACAGGCTCCTTGGCATGGAAAAATGGAACAACGGCACTTCCCCATGGCTGGAGTTGAGCATTGCCTCCAGACACCAGAGATGAAAAAAGGAGAAGCTCTTTGTCTGTGTTGTATGTTGTTGTTCCCTATGTGTGTAAAAAGACAGATGTTTACCTCATATGTATATTGTAATCCGCTCTGAGTCCCTGAGGTGAGATAATTTTATTTATTTATTTATTTATTTATTTATTTATTTATTTATGGTATTTCTATCCTGTTCCTTCTCAACCCCTGAAGGGGGACTCAGGACGGCTTACATTTAGCAGCAATTACATATAACACAGCAATATAATAACAAAACAATAAGTAAAGCATTCATTAAAACAGCAAAAAAAAACACCCCAGTATTAAAGCAGAATATAAAGTGCATTATTATTATTATTATTATTATTATTATTATTATTATTATTATTATTCCTCACCATTGCTCATGGTGGCAATGGCAAATGGAAGTTGCAGTCTAACAATGGCTGAAAGGCTTCATGATCTCTTCATTAACTATTTTAGGTTGCAGTCCCCTGCCCAGTGTCCTAGAGTTTCTGTATAGTTTGCTATTACCTGCTTTTTAATACATACATATCGGTTTGTACAATTAACTAAGATAATTGAATTGGATAGTCAGTCTCATTGAAAAACCTTTTGGAAAAATAAAACCAAATTAGACTCAACTAAATTAAATCAAAACATTATGATAATCAATAAACATTTTGAATTTCTGTGTTAAGTTAAAATGCAGGTACTCTTCGTAATAATATGATAAAATGATAGTTACAAAACTTAAAAGAGATTTACCAATCTGTCATCTCTATCTGACGCTTTTGTATAAGACATTCTTCCAGAAGGGGGCAATGAAGTCTTTTTGTTCACAGAGAATCAAAATGAGGATTTGCAAAGAATGTGTTACTTTGTAGGCCAGGTGTCCCCAAACATTTGGAGTTGGTGGACATCTTTTAAATACTTTTGAGAGAAGTCATAAACATGCTTAGAAAGCATGCTTCCCATAGCCAATAACAGGAAATACGTTTTTCTGAAGGAAAACTATTGAGTAACTTGCCAAAGATTGGAAAATAAGTTTATTTTCCTGCAAAACACTAAACCACTTTGTGGATCCCACAAGGCTGAAGAGACATGGGGGTGGCAGTGGAGAGAAAGTCCCCAAGCCCCAATGCTCTTGTGCGTCCATACAGTGAAATACAAAAAACAAAGAATAGCTTACAAAATAATACTCCAACAGAAGCCCAGTTTTTTGTTCCAACATATATATTATAGAGAAGACAAAACAATGCAGCTCAAAAATGAGGAAACCTGGCCAAAAATGGGACACAAAGTAGAGGTGGCATTTGAGGTCTAAATGCCACATATTTGCATGCAACAAAATAATTCGAGTAAAATAAAAAATAAAAACAGCAAAAAATACATATTACACAGAAGGCAAATAGGTAATCCTCAGGGCCCTTCCACACAGCCATATAATCCAGA